TCTACCACTTAAGCCACAGCGCCACTTCCGGCTTTTTTCTTTTTGCTTATGTGGTGCTGAGGAATCGAACTCAGGGCCTCATGCATGCAAGTCAAGCACTCTACTGAGCCACCTTCCCAACCCCAACCTCAAACTTTCTTGACTGGGTAAAAACTAAGTAATACTTTTTTCCAGTGCCCCTTACAGCTTACATAATAGGCAAGCATTCTTGAAGCCCCATGATTAAATTATATTCCATTTTGTGCCACTATTTTAGAAACAATTTCTACTAGCACTGTCTACAAGAGATTTTAGTGAATCTCTTTTCTGTATTTAAAGTAATACATTCCCCAGCAGTACCAACATTACAGAAGACGAGGAAAATTAAGGTAGAAGTGATTTGAGATTGATACTTTTGAAATGAGAATGTATAATTCACGCCCCGCTCTTGAATGCTGACCTGTTGACCACGCCAATGATGCCAAGCTTTACTGGAATGACTCTCCCCATCAACACATCCATGGCATCAGTGCCTGCGTCCATCAGGTCAAGCTTAGTGATCACAGCCAGGGTTCTGCGACCTGGCCAAGGTAAGAAAGAAAACAGCATGTTAAATAAACCTGTTAGCTCAGTACTAACATGTTCTAACAATATTTTTATTTGAAATTCTTTGAAGCAGGAAAATAAAAATATGACACAGCCTTCAGACCCTCCAAAGATTTAAAAAAATAAGGCAAATATTAAAAGCAACAATAATCACTCACTCACAGGCTAACATTTTATATAGACATGAAATCCCTCTCTCTTTAGTAAAGAATCACTGAAAAGCAGTATGAACTAATTCTTGGAGTTAACAAATGCTTCCTAAAAAGATTTTACCTTTACTTCTAAGAATCCACTATGCCTTGAGCATTGTCTGAATGTGTTCTATCTCTATAGAATGTAGAAAACATCATTCTTTCCTGGACCAGAATAATCTACATTAATTACCAACTATGAGTTATTTTTTCTTACAAAATCACCATTCACAAATCTCAGACATTTTATTTACACAAAACCACAGTATTGTTAGCATCCTTAGATAGCTATTGCAAATACACACATTATATAAAGTATTTTTACCTACTTTTCCATCAAATCTCTACTTGAAATTATAAGGAAAATGGAAAAATATATTATTTTTTAATTTGTGTTAGCTAAAAGCCACTCCTTTTTATAAATACAAGTTCTCTTTTTGCTTGTGCCAGTAATAGGGCTTGAACTCAGGGCTTGGGCACTGACCCTAGATTTTTCACTCAAAGTGAGTGCTCTACCACTTGTGCCACACCTCCTTTTGGCTTTTTGATAATTAAAGGAAGTCTCAGACTTGCTGCCTGAGCTTGTTTCAAACCTCGAGTCTCAGATCTCAGGATTACAGGTGTGAGGCACCACAGGTTTCTTAAGGGTTTATCTGTCACTGTGCATCAAGCATCTCATTCAATATCAACGTCTGTTCTTACCATCTGGATCTACCTCTCTTGAAATTTTCAGTGCCTCTGATGTTGCCATATCTGTATTAGCAGCAGTGACGGCAAGGATAATTGAATTGGGGTTGCTGATGAATCGAAGAATGAGCTCTCTGATTTGAAGCTCTATGTCCTTAGGTTGATCACCTACAGGCACCTAAACCAAAGAGATGAGCAAGGTGCTAATGATACACATCAACTCAAAGCATTTTTCCCAGTTAATGCACAGAAAATAGGTATTTCACCTTTTTTTTTTTTGCCAGTCCTGGGGCTTAAACTGGGCATGGGTGCTATTCCTGAGCTTCTTTTGCTAAAGGCTAGTATTCTACCACTTGAGCCACAGTGCTACTTCTGGCTACTTTTTTTTTAGTAGTAGTTATTGGAGATAAGAGTCTCACAGAGGGGAGGGGGGAGGCTGGGAAGGGATGTGAAGGGTAAACAAAAGGAGGAGGCTGCAATGCTTGGTAAGAAATGTACGCATTATCCTGCCCATGTAATTGTAACCCCTCTGTACAGTATCTTCACAAATAAAATTAAAAGAAAAAAAAAGAGTCTCACAGACTTTCAAGCCCTGGCTGGCTTCGAACTGTGATCCTCAGATCTCTGCCTCCTGAGTAGCCAGGATTATAGGTATAAGCCACTGGCACCTGGCATTTTTATTTTTACGTTTTATTTTTGCCAGTCCTGGAGCTTGAACTCAGGCAGTGTCCTTGAGCCTCTCTGTGCTCAAGGCTAGCGCTCTACCAAGAGCCACAGCACACTTTCAGCTTTTTCTGTTTATGTGGTACTGAGGAATCGAACCCAGGGCTTCATGCATACTTGGCAAGCACTTTACCGCTGTCATTATTCCCAGTCCTGGCATTTTAAAATAATTAAATTCATAATACACTAGGGGCATATGTAGGAAGTTTCAAAATGTAATTCCTGCAAATTTTAAAAGTTTACTCCTGCATAAATGTGTACTGCACACAATCCTGTGTTGATTGGGCAATTCTAACTAGCTAGAGACAAATTCACTCATTCATTCATTCAACAAGTGTTAACTGGCAGCCTACTATATTTCAGGCACTCTTTCATATATACTAGATTATATTACAATAGTAAATTTAGACAATGTAAAGGTTTTGACCTTTTAGAGATTATGTTTGGTGACAAGAGATAGATAATACAGAAAATCAGGTAGTAAAGGATTATAATAGGAGGTTAAGCAGTGATTTCAGAGGATTCTGCTTTTAAGTTATTGTTTTTACTTACATTATGCTTTTAAATAGAGTGATTATGCTTTTACATAGAGACACTGACACTTGAAAAATAAACAGAAATTAAAGGGAATAAGAGAGAGGTGAATGCAGGTATTTGAGAAAGAACATTCCACCGAGCGCTGGTGGCTCAAACCTGTAATCCTAGCGACTCAGGAGGCTGAGATCTGAGGATCACAGTTCAAAGCCAGCCTGGGCAGGAAACTCCATGAGACTCTTATTTCCAATAAACCACTCAGGAAAACCAGAAATGATGCTGTGGCTCAAGTAGTAGAGCACTAGATTTGAGGTGAAGAGCTGAGGGACAGCACCCAAGCCCAGAGTTCAAGCCCCACGCACGACCAACCAAAAAAAAAAGAAGAAAGAAAGAACGAACATTCTACATTTGGGTAAGCTGCAAGAGCAGGAAGCTAAAGCACAAGTTAGATGAGGAAACACAGACATATCACGTAGATAGTTTGTGTCTCTGTAAAAATTCAGACTTGTGATAAGTAGAGAAGGAAGCCACTAGAAAGACTTACAGCCAAGAAATGACACAATCTCATTTTCAATTTAATAGAATCACAATCATTGAGGTTGCTTTATTAAAAATGGATAAAAGAAGCCAGGCACTGGTGGCTCACGCCTATAATACTAGTTACATAGGAGGCTGAGATCTGAGGATCATGGTTCAAAGCCAGCCCGGGCAGGAAAGTCCCGAGACTCTCATCTCCAATAAACCACTAGAAAACCAGAAGTGGCGCTGTGGCTCAAGAGGCAGAGCACTCACCTTGAGCTGAAGAGCACAGGGACAGTGCCCAGGCCCAGGGTTCAAGCCCCATGACCAACCAAAAAAAAAAGAATATTTTTCAAAATTATATTATTATTATTGCACAAATCCAGGTGAGATGGCAGTGGCTAGGCCAGCTATGAACATGTAAGAAGTAACTGAGTTTGGACTTTCTTTTTGAGGCTCTATTATAAATGAAAGAAGAGCTAAGATGATGGCCTCCAAGTCAGGGAAGACCTGAAGGATAAAAGTCACAGATGACTGGAAACTTTTGACTAAACCAGGAGTAGAATGAAGCTGCCATTTATTGAGTCGACAAAAACTACAGAATGATCAAATCTAGTTGAAGGACAGGTTGGGAATTAGATATTAAACACATCAAGTCAGAAAAACCTAGTGAACATTCACATGTGTATGTCAAGTGGATATCTGGATAGGTATACAGGGCTGGAGATACCTGAATGTAATCAACATAGAGAAACTTCTGTATGTAAAATTGCTAAGGTTGGGCTGTGAATATGGCTTAGTGGTAGTGTTTACCTAGCATGCATGAAGGCCTGGGTTTGATTCCTCAGTACCACATACACAGAAAAAGCCAGAAGTAGCACTGTGGCTCAAGTGGGAGAGTGCTAGCCTTGAGCAAAAGAAGCTCAGAGACAGTGCCCAGGCCCCAAGTTCAAGCCCCAAGACTGGCAAACAAATAAAACAAACCAAAAAAACCCGCTAATTCATCACAATGTAAGTGTACCAGAAGAAGACAAGAGGACAAAACCTGAGCTCAAGAGCACTCATTGGTTAAGACCTGGGGGAGATAAGAAGAAACCAGCAAAAGAAACTGAAAATGAGTACTCAGTGACATTAGAGATCAGAGTGCAGAAGCAAGTAAGGAAAGTGTTCTAGGAGAAAGGAGCCTATAAAATACTACAGCAGACCAAGTATGGCTGCATACAACAGCTCACTGTTCCCGTAGGAGGTGAAAGAAAAACCCTCATTGGTTCAAGGGCGAACATGAACATGAGTCCTTACCTTGGTCATTCCTGGCAAATCCACCAGTGTCAAATTGACAACATTGGGTGAAAAAATCTTAAGATGAATTGGTTCAGGGCTTACTCCCTAAATATAAATTTGAAAACATATTAAAAATCACATTAAAAGTTCAATGAAGTATAAAACTTGAAGTATATAGAGTTAGGATGCTTTTAAACCAATTTCTAAAACTTTTCAGTAATCACAGTTCAATGAAACCTATGAGAAGACAGTCATCCATGTAACAGGCTATAACCGTGCCCCACCACATACCACAGAAATATAAATCATTATACTATTTACATTTAGAAGCATAACAATATGCAATGCCATTTCTTAAAATATGTTTACCAGACCATACTAAAAAGAACAATTTATTCTTCACTATCTAAATCTATACTATTTCTGAATTAACAGAGTAAGAAATAAATAGCAAGTTACTCAAACCAATTTGGTTCTTGATCTTTGAATGTTAAGTGGTAAGAATATATAGCATATTTCTTCAGACAACTAATTTAAAAAAAAAAACTCTTTTGAGGGGTGCCAGTATTGGGGCTCGAACAAAAATGCCAGAAGTAGCACCAGCTGGTTGTATGCTAGCCTTGGGTGAAAAGGCTAAGCAAGAATGTGAGGCACTGAATTCAAGCTCTAGTACCATTACAAATAAAAAGTAATCAGTTGTTAACATACTACCTTCATTAAAAAATAATAATAGTATTTCTCTTTATGTAAGAAAAATAGTTCTGCCAGGGCTGCAAAGGTGGCTCAGTGGTAGAATGCTTGCCTTGCATGCATGAGGCCCTGGGTTCGATTCCTCAGCACCACATAAGCAAAAAGAAAAAAGCTGAAAGTGGCCGCTGTGGCTCAAGTGATAGAGCCTGCTAGCCTTGAGCTGAAGAGCTGAGGGACAGCGCCCAGGCCCAGAGTTCAGGCCCCACAACTGGACCCCCAAAAGAAAGAAAAAAGAAAAATAGTTCTGCAAAATACATGTACCTTAGGAATTACAAAATGCTTCCTCAATTAAGAGTACAATCAATCAACCAGAAAAAAGATAACTCATTTTGGGCACCAGTGGCTCATGCCTGTAATCCTAACTACTCCGGAGACTGAGATCTGAGGATCACAGTTCAAAGCCAGCCCAGGAAGGAAAGTCCATGAGACTATTATCTCCAATAAACTACTCAGAAAAAGCCAGAAGTGGCAATGTGGCTTAAGTGCTAGAGCAATAGCCTTGAGCACAAAGAGGCCCAAAGACCAGGCCCAGGCCCTGAGTTCAAGGCCCAGCACTGCCCCCCCAAAAAAAAACAAAGTTAACTCACAATAACAGTATTATACAGCATAATTATAATTTAAAGTGCTATGTACATGACAGGGTTAAGAAAAACATAAGTATGAGCTGGGCACCGGTGCTCACGCCTATAATCCTAGTTACACAGGAGGCTGAGATCTGAGGATCGCGGTTCAAAGCCAGCCCCGGCAGGAAAGTCCGTGAGACTCTGCTCTCCAATAAACCATTAGAAAACGGGAAGTGGCACTATGGCTCAAGCGGTAGAGCACTTGCCTTGAGCTGTAGAGCGCAGGGACAGCACCCAAGCCCAGAGTTCAAGCCCCAAGACCGACCAAAAAAAAAAAAAAGAAAGAAAAATATAAGTGTGAAATATTTGACATACATAAAAGTTCTGAGGAACAAAGGGTTTTTTTTGTTGTTGTTTTCTTCATGTTGCTTGGGACCAAATCCAGGGACTTGCACGTACTAAGCATTGTTGGTCTCACTGTAAATATAGCCCAGGCTGGTCACAAACTTGATCCTTCTATCTCCATCTCCCATGTGTTGAGATTACAAGTGAGTGGCAAAATACCTAGTGCCAAGAGATCTTAAGCAAAGTTTTTATGTTTGTGAAAACATATTATTTCAAAGATCAAGATTATGAATTATATTATCTACAGAAAACCTTCAGTATTCTATTTACTGATGTTTATGCCTTCCAGGTCTAAATAGATGCTTACCTTGTTATTTCCTGAAATTCTTTCTGTTTCATTCTCAATTTCTTGTCGAATTTCGTCAAAATCTGTGTAAAGCTAAACACACAAAGCAAATAAAAACTACAAAATTCAAAGTGAGATCAAAAGTTCTTAATTGATGGTTTGAGTGTCCATAAATGTCAAGGATGTCTATGCATTTGCTGCAGGAAATTAGCAAATAAATTCTGATGCATATTTTTCTAAGCCATTAACTCATAGTTGTTTGTTTCTACAACACTTAAGAATCTCCAAGTTAAACAGACTCCATCTGAAGATTATTGTTAGAAGATTATGGTTAGAACTATATGGTTAGAAATGTTACTGAGACATAATTATTTCTCAAGGGAACAGTTGCTTCAAAGTAACATAACACATTGCCAATGACAAGAAACCAAATTATGGGCTGGGAAGGTGGCTCAGTGGTAGAGTGCTTGCCTTGCATGCATGAGGCCCTGGGTTCGACTCCTCAGCACCACATAAGCAAAAAGAAAAAAGCTGGAAGTGGCGCTGTGGCTCAAGTGGTAGAGCACTAGCCTTGAGCTGAAGAGCTGAGGGACAGCGCCCAGGCCCAGACAGAGTTCAGGTCCCACGACTGGACCCAAAATAAAAAAAGAAAGAAACTAAATTATCTGCTAATTTTACAAAATGGTATTTTCAACACGTTATGTCATTATATCTTAAATACCTTATTTTTGGTGTGAAGAAATTTACCCCATTCTTCAGCTTCTACACCTAGAAAAAAAAAGAAAAAACTCATATACTGAAAACTACAAAAAGTATTTTTTTATAGTTAGGAATTCAAAATGGCTGTACAATAAATTGTTATTTGTTCCTATTTTGCCACTAACTATAAGTTAACAATGTTCGATGAAAATTGTTATTTGTTCCTATGTTGCCACTAACTACAAATTTAAAAGTTTAACATCTTCTAAACTATATATTTAACATTTAAAAAACCAGTGCCCTGGGGCTGGGAAGATGGCTAAGTGGTAGAGCGCTTGCCTTGCATGCCTGAGGCCCTGGGTTCGAATCCTCAGCACCATATAAGCAAAAAAAGAAAAAAGCCGGAAGTGGCACTGTGGCTCAAGTGGTAGAGCGCTAGCCTTGAGCTGAAGAGCTGAGGGACAGCGCCCAGGCCCAGAGTTCAGGGCCCACGAATGGACAAAAAAAAACCAGTGCCCTGTACTTCAAATAAGGAACTTCAGGTAGCATCACTCACAAATTTTTCTACCACTTGAAATCTAGATTTTATAGATTATATTTTGTTCACTTCCTATTCTGTTTATACTTACACTTAAGTTACCCGGTAAGAAAAATGAAGAACCCTACTGAATAATGCAAAAAGCACCTATACAAGATTGGTGCGCATCACACATTGTGAATATTTGCAATATATGAATGAAGCAGCCGAGTTTTCAGTTTTGTTGTGGTTTTAACATGGTTTCCTGGTCATCAGCTATACAATCACAATTTGCTGGCTTTAAAGAACTCTCAGTGGTACAACTTCTGTCATATTCTCCAATGGAACTAAGGTAGGAAGAAATGAAATGGAGGAAGAAGGAAAAACCCTTGGTGAGTTGGTACTCTCCATTGAGTTTCCAGTCACAGGTCTGTTCCCCCTGACCTTTTTTTTTTTTTTAAAAAAAAAAGAAAATATGTTCACTGTGTATACTGTGTGAAGTGATCTAGAACTTTGTTTTTCCTTGAGAAATCAGAAATGTTTAATTGTAGAAAAGGTAATCTAACTTTACACCTCTCCCAAGTATAGTGATTTTGCCCTGGCCAAACCCCAATTCTTAACAAGTTAAGAATATTGAATGATGCACATCTGTACCTGAAATCAAAATCAAAACCACTACATGGCAATTATATAAATATTTATCAATGAAAAGGTGGCTTGATTATTTTGTGGAATAAAGGTAAATAAAATTGGGTCCTCTTTGCAAGTAAAGTTCTCACCGACCTGAAGCATAGTACCTTCTTCCAAGAAGTCTCATTGGAGGGCAGGAGTAATCTAGGTGGATAGAACTCACAGAAGCAGGACTACATACCAACACGGTATGTTTGATTCATCTTACATAAAGAAGGTCTAGCTTCACAAGCATGTTTTGGAAAATAAAAATGAAATAAAGTACATTCACCACTAAAAAAGCTTGCATTCTGATGACAAAAACCACTAAAACCTGTAAGGTGGGTAGGCAAATAAAAATGGAAGAAAAAAATGCACACAGCCTGTAAGAGTACATAAGCACACATGCAGGCAGAATAAGAGAAAGAAGGGCCAGAAACAAATGGAGAAAGGGAACCTTTAGAAAGGTGTCTTGAGTTTTTCCATGAGGCAGGGTCTGTAGTTAAAGAGAAACAGCACAGAATGGTAAGTTTAGCTTATCCCTAAAACTGTTAACTTTTTAAAAGAATAAAATGTCTAGAAACATTACATTTCAAATGCACACAGCATTCAATTATTCAAAATTTACAACTAGAATTAGAGGGAACTATGTACTTCTAAGTAATTTCCCTACATACTATACTGATACCTCAATTACCCCAGAGAGATGGCAGAAAGATTGTTGCATGATGCTGAGTTTTCCTGACAACTGACTTGTGCATATTCAAACACTAAAATATTTCATCTAGTTTTTATAGGCCTATAATTAAAATTGATTATATTTCTCTAAACCACCTAAAATGTTCTGCCCTTAAGATATTATTGGTAATTTAGGCCTTTACTACATTATAAGGCAAAACCCTCGTGGGCTTAATTTATAATCCCTATGCAAAAAGGATTTTTCTGTTCTTGTTCTTTGGGCACTTTCTGCTTAGTTTCCTCCTGTGCTCTCACTGTCAGGCTATCAAAACAGTTCATACTTTATACGGTAATTTGCTTCTTGATTTCTAATTTCCTCTAGGTTAGAATGACTTATAGTAAGGTAGAACTGCTTCTCCCAAGAAGAAATTATCGCTAATTAAGAAACTTAAGAATTATCCCAGAATAAAATATAAAATTTAGTACTCAAATTTATGAAACCTGTGTTATTGCTAGCTGTTATTTAAGTGGAGGAAAATCTCTCTCTCTCTCTCTCTCTCTCCCCCTCTCCCTTTCTCTCTCTCTCTCTCTCTCTCTCTCTCTCACACACACACACACACACACACACACACAAAGCAATAAACTTGGGGGAAATATATATACCTGTGTGTGTGTGCGCGTGCGTGCACACATGCGTGCATGTGTGTGTGTATGCAGATAAAGATATGCAAATCTACTGACCCATGAGCAAGAAGAGACATCAACAAAATGCAGTGGACACACAGCAGAGATACCAGGGAGCTAACTCACATACAGCTGAAATGCACCTCTTTCCTAACAAGCAAAGTTTTATCTTAAGGAAACACTGGCTGCATCTACCAAGAGCTTGAGACAAAAAGTTAAAAGAGATCTAATGCTATATAGTTTTCATGGCCTGAATTTAAAATATTTGAGCCGGGCACCAGTGGCTAACACCTCTAATCATAGCTATTCAGGAGGCTGAAATCTGAGGATTACAGTTCGAAGCCAGCCAGGGCTGGCTCCCTGAAGCTATCTTCAATTAATCACAGAAAAAGCTGAAAGTGAAGTGGTAAGAGTGCCAGCATTGAGCAAATGGAACTCAGGGACAACACCCAGGCCCAGAGTTCAAGCCCCAGAACTAATTAAAATAAAATAAATAAAATAAAATATTTCATGAATTTGTTTGAATTTAAAATGACTAAATTCAAGGTTTAGAATTTCAGTTAAGAACTATTACAAAAATGCAGCATGATTCATAATACAGCAAGAACACGTCTAATAGAATTAAAAATTTCCTCCATATCTCTGGCAGTATGGCTGGAAAATACCATTTGCTAGCTTCATTCACTTGCTTCAGTGATTCTAGAGTCATAGTGAATGCTCATGACAGCATTCCCCACTTTAAACACAAAACAAGCATCAACTCCTATGATAAATGAAAAAACAACAACAACAAAAACAACCAAATACAAAAACTCCAGTAGCATCAATTTTGTCAATATATCATCTCATCTTATTTGAAGAAGCAAAATGAAGCTGCAGGAAAATAAATCTATGCAGATAAGAAACAGACACAGTATTCTGCTGCAAAAGCCACTTAACAATTAAGGCAATTTTTAAAGACTTTTTTAATAAAAGAAAATCTAAGCCAGGCACTGAACTAAATTAGAATATTAGATGCAGTACTCTAGAACATTTAAACTCATTATGTATGACTAACATAGTATACACATTTTATAAGCAACTTAAACTCTAATAGATAACATTTCTTAAAATGCCTTTTTAATTCTTTAAAATTTTGCTATATACAAAAATGCATGGTTTCTTATTTGCATATTCTAGGCCTACTTTTCATATAACATATTTAAGAAAGAGCCTAACTCAGTTTAGCTAGAGTCTAAACCTGAACATGGCAGAGAAGATCTTCAAAATGAAGGTGTTGTATACATTTAAAGTAAAAACTAATAGTAATTTTAAATTAAAAGTTTAAATAATAACCCACGCCAATGAAGGGAAATGAAAACTAGCAGGTATGTGGTGAGACAAGGAAAGGGAAAGTGAGTTAACAATTCTAAGCTAACTAACAGTCAGCTCAATTTAAAATGAAAATTTCAGCTAGAATCTAAATGACTTAAGTTGCAAATTAAAGTAGAAACCAAAAACATCAGTACTTAGAGGAGCAAGGCCTGGAGGCACATACTCCCAGCACCAGGGATGCTGAGATGCGAGAATCATGAGTCTAACAGGATAGCCTAGGCTACAGAATAAGAACCTGCCTTAAAAACTAAAACAAAATCCTTTTTCTTTAAAATAATGGATTAATTACTATGCACTCTGTCACTGGGTCCTTTATTAAATACCACCAATAAGTTTATAAAGCTGAATCACTCAGGACTATTCCCATCAAGTTCATTCATAAAAACAACAAAAATTACTTTCTTATATTCAGAAACTGTTGTACAACTTCTTTCCACAGGAATTCAGATCTTGCTATAGCCATTAATAATTTCCAATTAACTAATCAAATCATATCTTAGAAACACACCAAAAATGAATAGTTTTTAGATCATTCTTATCCCCAATTGTAATATTTACCATTCTCTTCTCCTGATGTTTTTCGCTTATCCTCTGGTGAGACGTGGACCAGCTGCAGAATAAGAGGCCTCCGGGTGACAATGCCAGTGCCTCGAGGAAGCAGATCCCGCCCCACTAGGCTCTCCAGCACTGAGCTCTTTCCACTGCTCTGAAAATACAACATACAACAAAACAAGTTTAACAAGTTTTTCTGTTAAGACTATACTAACAAAGAAGCAAAGGTTTTCTAAAGGAAAACAGCAGAGACTTGTAAAATGAAATTGAGTTATTCTTATGATATTATTATTCCCTTTTTTTTGGGGGGGGGGGCGGTTGTGGGGCCTGAACTCTGGGCCTGGGCGCTGTCCTTCAGCTCTTCAGCTCAAGGCTAGCGCTCTACCACTTGAGCCACAGCGCCACTTCCGGCTTTTTTTCCTTTTGCTTATATGGTGCTGAGGAATCGAATCCAGGGCCTCAGGCTTGCAAGGCAAGCGCTCTACCACTGAGCCACCTTCCCAGCCCTATTATTCCCTTTTAAGAAACAAAAAAAAAAAAAAAATAGAAGCTGGGTACTAGTGGCTCACATCTGTAATCCTAGCTACTCAGGAGGCTGAGATCTAAGGATCTCAGTTCAAAGCCAGCCCAAGCAGAAAAGTCCATGATACTCTACAATTAACTACCTTGAAAAGTCGAAAGTGGAGCTGTGACTCAAGTGGTAAAGCTTGGAGCAAAAAAGCTCAAGAGACAATGCCTAGGTCCTGTTCAAGCCCAGGATTAGCACAAAAAAAAATTAAGTAAAATAAAAGTAAAAGCCCACTCCAGCCAGGTGTCAGTGGCTCACGCCTGTAATCCAGCTACTCAGGAGGCTGAGATCTGAGGATTGCAGTTCAAAGCCAGCCTGGGTAGGAAAGTCTGTAAGACTCTTATCTCCAATAAACCACTCAGAAAACCGAATGTGGCACTATGGCTCAAGTGGTAAATTGTTTGCCTTGAGCTGAAGAGCTCAAGGACAGTACCCAGGCCCAGAGTTCAAACCCCATGTCTGACCAAAAATAAAAAACACAAAGGAAAACATGTTAGCTGGGTTCTGGTGGCTCACACCTGTAATCCTTGCTACTCAGATTTTTTATCAATTTTGATTATTAAATGTTAAACACTGGAATCTAATTCATTTCTTTTTAATAGTATGTCAATACATGCAGACTAAACAAAATATGCTTATAAGCTGCCAGATTTTTTAAAAAAAATTTCTTATGGATTCACCTATTATAAATAGAATTGGCTTCTTCAACAACTGGTTAGGTATTTGCTTTCCCCTGGTGACTTTAAACATCCAGTGTTCACACAGAATTTAAGACGCTACTGATAGCCCAGAGTTCCACAGTAGCAAAGTCACAGCTGGCCTGCTCTGAAAGTAGGGCTTACTAGCATTCCAAGGCCTTCAGCTTTGTCATCTCCACACTCCCAAAGTGGACTGCATATTCTGGAGATGTTAAGGAGTGACAGAAGTGTGTTGCCAAACTGCACAGAGTGCAGCTGGATTCACAGTGCTTTGAATTCCATCTCCAGATGTGTCCTTCCACTGAAAAGGCTTTGTTACATTTTGGCCCTTTTCCCTTGGTAACTGGTATCATGCAAGGGTGAGGAATTATAAATGGTCATTTACTCCATGCTAACCAAAGCTGATTCATTTTTTTAGCTTGTAATTTACTTTTCAGACACTTCTTGAATTATTTTGTTTGGAGGGTCCCAGCATTTACTTACGGCCTCCTAATTTGCTTGACTTTGCTTGGCTGGCACTCTACCACTTGAGCCAAGTCTCCAGACTGGGTTTTGCTGGTTATTATGGAGATAGAGTCTAACAGACTTTTTTATGCTGGCCTCAAATTGCCATCCTCTGAATCTCAGCTTCCTGAGTAGGTAGGATTACAGGTATGACCCACAAGTATCCAGCTTAATTCTTCATTTTGATATAACTGGTAACAATGGACTTCTCTTGATCTTTCAATTTATTTTGGATAATTATAGCTTTACAAAGTTCCTTAGTATTTACTTTGCTGGGATATTTCCCATAATATTCTCAAAAATACTAATCTTATATTAGATAGTTAAACTAAAATGGTTTTACCTTACAATTCAAATATTCTTTCTTAGAACAAAGTATGGATCCAAAGTTTAAGGCACTTTACAATTTGTGGTTTTAAAGTGTAGTTCTCACTGAATAATTAACCCAAATGTAACAATAAAACTAACATATCAACTGTCTAAAACGCAAACTTTTTAATGTTGCAGACCCAACAGTATTAAGGGAAGAATTTTTCTTGGTTAGGAGACAAGCTGTGTTCTCTGAATCATGAAAGAAAACAGACATTCAGAGATCCAATAAGGCTATGAACTTAAATAGCAGAACTGATATCCATTAAAAAAAAATTGTGCTTTGGCCAGGCACTAATGGCTCACACCCGTAATCCTAGCTACTCAGGAGGCTGAGCTCTGGGGACTGAGGTTCAAAGCCAGCCCTGGCAGGAAAGTCTTAATATCCAATTAACCACCAAAAAGTGAGAAAGTAGACTTTTGGTTGAAGTCATAGAGTGCTAGCCTTGAGCACAAAAGTTCAGGCACAGTGCCCAGGATTGTCACAAAAATAAGTAAAAATTTAAAATTTTCTACTTTATGAAACTAGAGGTTTAGCTCCATAGAATATGTGTTCAGTATATAAAAGGCCATGGGTTTAATCCCCAGGTCCTCCACCCCCCAAAACAAACAACCAATAAAAAGCCACACCCACTTTTTCCATAGAAGCAGAAAAGTGCCAGACCAGTGACACGAATGTGCTAAGAAACTCAGTGAATCCAAGTAGCATAAAAAAGACATCCATATGGGAACAAGCCAAAATCGAACTATTCAAAGACAAAAATGCCAATATTGAGAGCAGCAAGAGAGAAACAGAAGTGACTGATTTATCAATCGCATACAATGGAACCTCAAATAAGATCGACAGATCTGTCATCAAAAACAATATGGGGTTGTCGGGCACCGGTGGCTCACGCCTGTAATCCTAGCTACTCAGGAGGCTGAGATCTGAGGATCAAGGTTCAAAGCCAGCCCAGGCAGGAAAGTCCTTGAGACTCTTATCTCCAATAAGCCACTAGAAAACCGGAAGTGGTGCTGTGGCTCAAGTGGTAGAGCTCTCTCCTTGAACTGAAGAGCTGAGGGACAGCACTCAAGCCGAGTTCAAGCCCCATGACCAACAAAAAAAAAAGGGGGGGGGGAGTCAGAGCAGTAGGACAATTTTAATCCCAACATTCATGCAGAATGCTCATAGGCCTCAAATAACCAAAATAATCTTGAAAAACACAAAGTTGGGAGATGCATATATCTCCATTTCTGCCTTGGTTGTTTTTTAGGTAGGGGCTTGCTTTAAGCTCAGGCCAGCCTCCCTGTGATTCTATCTGGTGTTACTGGGGACAGCAGGTACATGCCACTGTGCCCAGCTTTTTTTTTTTTTTTTTTGTCAGTCGTGGGGCTTGAACTCTGGGCCTGGGCGCTGTCTCTCAGCTCTTCAGCTCAAGGCGAGCGCTCCACCACTTGAGCTACAGCGCCACTTCGGGTTTTCTGGTGGTTTATTGGAGATAGGAGTCTCAAGGTCTCTCTTGCCCGGGCTGGCTTTGAACCTCAATCCTCAGATCTCAGCCTCCTGAGTAGCTAGGATTACAGGCGTGAGCCACCAGCGCCCGGCTTTGTGCCCAGCTTTTGTGCCTCCTCTAGAGTTGGAGTCACCAGCACAGGCTGCCATGCCCAGACACTGATGGAGATGGATTCTCTTGAACTTTTGTGTCCAGGATGCCTTGAACTATGATCACCTAATTTCCACCTCCCAACGAGCTAGGATTATTGGTGTAAGCTGGCTTCATATATTCTAATTTCAAAGTTGACTATTAATCCATAGTAATCAAAACATAGGGATTAAAATATGAAAAAGAACTCAGAATCCAGATTTTCAACAATGGTACCATCACACTATTCACTGGAGAAAAAATGGTCTATTCAGAAAATAGTGCTAGTTTAACTGGATAGGCATATGTAAAAGATGAAGCTGGACTCCTACTTCAAAGAAGACAATTTTTTTTCTGGGAGGAAAAAAAAAAAACCTAAACATACAAGCTCAGGATTTGGCAATACCTTGTACAAGACAGTGTACCGCTAGCTACACTGAAGGCTGAGAATTGAGTTTTGAAGCCAGACTGAGCAAACTGAGAAGACTCTTATCTCCTATTAATTAGCAAAAAGCTGGAAGTAAATTGCGCACCAGTGGCTAACATCTGTAATCCTAGCTACTCAGGAGACTGAGGTATGAGGATCATGGTTCCAAGTCAGCAGGGACAGGGAAGTCCAAAAGGCAGGAAGCAAAGCTGTGGCTCAAGTGGTAGAATACCATCCTTGAGCCAAACAGCTAAGTGAAAGCATGAGGTCCTGACTTCAAGCCCCAGTGGACAGAGAGAGGAGGAGGAGACACAAACAAGACTTGTCAAAATTAAAAAACGTTTGTGTGCCAAAGAATACTATCAAGAAGGTGAGAAAACAACTTACAAGAAGGAGTACTTGCAAACCAAACAATGTCAAAGCATGAGTGTCTAGAACTTTGAAAATACTGTAACTTACTCTGCTGGAGTAGTTAGAGTGGTAGAACATCTGCTTTGTAAGGCCCTAAGTTCAAATCCTAGTGCCACCAAGAAAAGGGAGAAAGTTTGTGTGTGTGTGTGAGTCATGGAGCTTGAACTCTGGGCTTGGGCACTATCCCTGTGCTCTTCAGCTCAAGGCAAGTGCTCTACTACTTGAGCCACAAGCCGCTTCCAGTTTTCTGAGTGGTTTATTGGAGATAAGAGTCTCATGGACTTTCCTGCCCAGGCTGGTTTTGAACCATGATCTTGAGATCTCAGCCTCCTGAATAGCTACGATTATAGGCACAAGCCATTGGTGCCCAGTGGAGAAAGAATTCTTACAGCTCAACAATAAAAGGAAAACTCCAACAAGCACATGAAACTTTGCCCTACATCATTAGTCATTAAGGAAAGACAAAGGAAAACCACAAGGATATAATAATTTATGTATAGCTATAACCAAAAGAATCAGATAACAGCAAATGTCCATAAGGCTATAGAAAAACTG